TTATGTTTTGATGTTGAATTCACTTTTTTGACGGCAAATTTGGGTGTACTGTTTTTTTTATGTTGGGGGTGCGGCTTATAGTCCGAAAAATACGGTAATTATCCATCAGCTATAAAAATAAATTAACTATATCTGATGCAACAAAAAAAGTTTCAATATCGTCATTAACAACTAAATTATCTTTGTTAAAAACATATAAAACACAAATGTAGTTAAAACTCAGATGAAAAAGGCCCAATTCACCTGTCAATAATACAGCTGGCAAAATAAATTATTAAAATATTTATGATGTACTTCTGTTTTTTTTATTCTGATTATTAAAAATCCTTCATTTTATGAAAAGACCCTCTTGATTCAAGAGAAAACTCTGGTTTTCAAGAAAATGGCTGCTTATCAATTAATTGTTAGTCAATCTATAAGATAAATCAACTTCAGATTAACTCATTAATCAGTAACTTGCATCCATAATTTTTACAGGAATGAAATTAATTTATATCTACTCATTTTCATGTAACTAAGCATTTTAATGATTTGGCTGATTAATTGATTAATCAAAAAATAATCGACAGATTAATCGATTAAAATAGTCGTTAGTTGCAGCCTTAAAGGTAATCATCTGATGGGTCACAGCTGTGACTTTGTTGATAATAATTACACAAACGGCGCCTGAGCAAAAGGAACACTCAATGCTTTCAGCACCGCCCCTCTGGCGGTCAGCAGGGATGAAATAGAACTACTATTTTATACAAATCTTTTCTAACCTGGACAGCCCTGTACAGCTGGCAGGGGTTTACAGATGTTGATGTAAAACCTGCGGGACGTCCCAGCATCTGTATCGATGGGGATCCAGGGGCTGTCGTCTGCGTCTCTGATCAGGTGGCTCAGATCGTACTCGTTGCCGTGAGGATCTGGAAAGAAAATAATAATTTTATAGATTTCTGTCTGGAAAAAAAACTCATGTTTATTTTATTTATTGTTATGAACTGACTTGAAATTATGAAAAAAATTGTAATTTTCAGTTTAACAGAAGCAAAAGTAGTTTGTCAACTAGGATGTGTTCGTACCACTGGTCTTGCAGTAAACTGGGGCGGGCTCGCAGGCCAGAGCCGTGGAGAACTCAAACAGAGCATCGTGGGTCACGTGGCTGGCCAAAGTGCTCATATCCTCTTGAACTAGTTTTAACGAGCCCGGGTACGAACTTTGATCGCACACAAAATTAACTGTAAAGGTGTCTCTGGTAGCTGGTGGAAAGAAAAATAAATATATAAAAATCATCTGTGTTTGTAGATTAAAATGAAAAAAAGTTTGGTTATTTTATGGTGTTTAATATCTGTGCAGACTGAGACAAGATGGTGTTTTATGCACTGGATGGATGGATAATACCTGGTTGAATAAAACACTTCCTGTTAGTATTTCAGTTTAAAGTACCTGTGGGAACAATCAGCGGTCCTCTGTACGTCAGCTGGAGGAYGCCATCAGTGGAGTACTGGAGGATCTTATCCACCTGCACCGGGCTGAGGGGCTGTCCGTTCTCCAGCTCGCAGGCAGCCATCCCCACACCACATTGTGGTGCATCTGCACAGATGTTCAACTGCAGGAAGGAAACAAATAAACCTGTTCATTTGTGAAAAAAACTGTTTTATAGTTCTTTAAAGACGTGAGCATGTCAAGGGCTGATTAAAAAGAAGCCAGTTTTTCAGGTTACACTTGTGACAAAAAGTCAAAATGACACAATAAAGTGTGTCAAACTCACACTTACTTACTTTACTTAACTTATTTTCCTTAACTTCCTTTACTTACTTTATTTACTTTACTTAACTTACTTTACTTTCTTACTTACTTTACTTACTTACTTTACTTTCTTACTTACTTTACTTACTTACTTTACTTTCT